AACACCGAGGGTTACGATCCCGTTGCCGGTCCCGGTCCGGTACGGGGGCAACACTGAGGGTTGCGATCCGTTGCCAGACACGGAAAAAAGAAAAAAAAAAAAAAACAAAAAAAAAAAAACTGAGAGCTTTAAAAGGAGAGTGCATGAGGAACTATTGCTCTCTGTGCTCTGCCATTTTCTTCCATGTGAGACCCCTGGGTCCCTGTCTCCACCACCAACACCCTCACTAGATGTGTTCCCTGGACGTTGGACTTCCCAGCCTCAGAAACTTTATAAATAAAATTTATTAAGCAATAAATTTGATTTTCTTTATAAATCATCTAGTTTCAAGTATTTTGTTATAAGCAACAGAAACAGACTAATAAACACACTGAACATTGAACTCTTTTGTGGATCTACATAAGCAGGGAGAGCCACAGACTAGGCACCTTCAAAAGAGTAAATTGTGGGCCAGCCCGTGGCTCACTAGGGAGAGTATGGTGCTGATAACACCAAGGCCATGGGTTCGGATCCCGTATAAGGATGGCTGGTTGGCTCACTTGGTGAGTGTGGTGCTGACAACACCAAGTCAAGTGTTAAGATCCCCTTACTGGTCATCTTTAAAAAAAAAAAAAAAGTGTAAATTGTCTATCTGTGACCTGAACCTTGCTGGCTACAAGGTTAACTACCAGAAGCTAACTAGAGTGATCTGGAAAAAAAAGATTAAAAGAATTAAATCTCTACCTTTCATCCAAAGACAAATAAAGTAACTTTATAACCAGTAAGGCATGCTTACGCCAGAGCTAAAGGGTTTCAAAGGGAGAAAAAAGAGAGAGTAGCCATTCCAAGGATTAGGCTAAAAGGCTTACTTTAGCTCAGGGTTTTGGTTTGTTCGTTTGTTTGGCATCTGGCGAGTACAAGCATGTGAATCCATGACCTTGGGGTTGTAAGGCTACACTCCAACTGAGCTAACTGGCCAGCCTTTGCTTGGTGTTTCTTAAGGTTTAGGTGCATCTACTCAGACATTGGCTCGTCCCATCTCCCACATGGAGAGTTTAAGTTTTCTGGACATGCAACCAGAGATTCTGATTTCAGGAGGTTGGGGGTAGGGCTCATGACTTTGCATTTCTCATTTCTAACATACTCATAGGTGATGCCCCTGCTGCTGTTTTGAGAACCACTGCCTGCAGACATTCTCATCCAAACCCAGGGATAGTTTAATGGTAACTATCCTATATTCAAAATACATTTTAAAAGGCAGTAAACGCCCTCCCACCCCTCACTCACCCTCTTGTCCCATGGGAATTTAAATCAGAGCCCCAAGAAACAGAAAACATGATGCTAACTTGGCGTGCAGGAACCAGGACACAATGATCTTGTTCTGAAACCCTATTCATGATTCTATCCCCAGAAAAACGTACTTGTACAATTTCTCAACCTCTTGGCTGTTTGAAAACATACTGGTGGGCTGGCCAGTGAGCTCAGTTGGTTAGAGTGCCACCTTGTAACACCAAGGTCTAGGGTTTGGATCTCTGTGCCTGGCTAGCTGCCAAAAAGAAAAAAAAAAGAAAAAAAAATGTATTGGTAATGACATGTGTGATAAAAGCAAATGTGGTGCAGCTTTCACTTTGGCCAGGAATGATCTGACCAGCAAGCTGCTGGAACCAAGCTGGCCCTGTAGCAGTCATAAGCAGTTTCCTCAGCCATTTCAAGTGCAAGTTGGCCCCTTTTCCTCCTTCACAAAAAGAAAAACTCACATCATGCTATTGTCACCACTGACATACCAAGTCTCTATTTAGAGAGCTGAAAGAACAACTAATTTTTGTTTAGCTTTGGGTTTTTTGTTTTCTAAGAATGATTATTATCTGTCCATTCTTTTGAAAAGGACATCCTTTTATTATATTGAATCTGCAACTACTACTCATTTCTACTTTCTGTGCCTATAACGATATGTCTATCTCAGCCCTTGAAAAGCCCAGAAAAGGGTTCTTCTAAGGGTAATCTCTGCCCCCAAGTACCTAAGATATGGTGACATACTCAACTGATATCCATAGGCACTCAAGACTTTTTGCATAAAGTCAGTGCATCTAGTGAGTCCCACGTGGATGGGTTAGAGCAGGAAACAGTGAGTCACACAGTAAGGGTGGCTAAACTCAAATCAGGATCGGATATTTTATGAATGTTGGTAGGGGCTCCTGGATTAATTGTTCAGTGAACAAGGGTTTTTAAATTACTTCGGCCCGGGGTTGGAGCAAGAACAGAAAGTGGTATCCTACCAACCACTCAGAAGACCAGGCAAGTACACCACGACCTTGGAAAATGAACTTGATGACTAAAAAGCATGCCTATCTCTGGAAACACACATTTCCACCTTACCATTAACAAACAAACAAATAAAATCTTTAATAACTGGGGCAGTTGCTACAGGCAAGGAAATCAAACAACCAAAAATGCCTCTGCCCAAGAGTGGAAACAAGTCCGTTTTCAGAAGAGGCATTTTGAAATTCCATTTAGCATGTTAGGCATGATTATAAGGTTAATTATTAAATGTTGAGTACAATAAACAATAAAAACCACCACTGGATTTTGAATTGGTAAAACAAACAGCTTATTTTGAATGCACACACTAATTCTCTTGCCAAGTTGCCTGCAATTTTCCAGAATTTTTTCTGAAAGCCCACGATCAGCCCAACACCACCACCTAGTGGTGAGATACATCCATAGCCCTTCTCTTCACCTAAAACACATCACAGTAGTCCCATTTGTCTTTTCTTCCCAAACTGAGACTGTGACAATGTAAAGAAATAATGAAAAAAGAACACTGAAAAGTAAAAATGTAAATTAAAAGCTTTATTGAATAAAAATGCTTCAGACTAAGCAAGGATGTTAAGAAAGCAGAATATTTTACATCTGTAAAAAATATTAGAGCTAAATCTC